CTATAACCTCCCTATGCCCCCCCTATACCTCCCCAATAACCCGCCGCACCCCCCCAAATCCCCGAAAGTTTCTCAGCGGATTTGGGCTGTACACAGCAAGCGCAGTACCGCCCTGAACTCAGATTTGAAAAAAAATCAGCGGATGGCCCTCTACAGACTGGCCGGCAGACCGCCGACCGCTCGGCCCTACTGGTAGGCTGGAAAACGGTCAGTGGTTGGCGGTAGGCGGGTATGCAACCCTGCTGTGTGTCGTAATGTCAGCGGCCATGCAAATCTTCTGTGTATAGTTGTGACATCAGCGGATGTCTGCAAAGAATCAGAAGGACTACATCCCAGTTCTTTACTTGTGTATGTCATCCTTTGTGCAAGGCCGTGACAGAAGTGCAAGGAGCCCTTGGATTGAAGTACTTCAAAGAAGTTTAATTTAAACCAACGGCATCATGGAATATTAATACTATATATTATCTGTTCGATTCTGTTATTAAATCTGGAATATTATATATTATCTGTCCGATCTGATGGCTTTGGTACATCAGATCACATGAAACATGCAAAATGAAAAGTGAGAAAAGAGACGAAAGAGAGGAAAGTGGAGAACATCTGTGTGGTTGATGGCAAAGAAGTAAATTCAACAACAGGACAACGAACAGAACATTGATCGCTAAGCGAAAAAAAGCGAAGGTATGTTCACTCATGCGGCTAGATTTGAATTTTGAACAACATTTCATGAGTTGCTTGTATCCTCTTTTCTTTTCTTTGTGTGACACTGTCTGACATTGATCTCCCCTCTCTCTCCTCTCTCCTCTCTCTCCTCTCTCTACTCTCTCTACTCTCTCTCTCCCCTCCCTCTCCCTTCTCCCCTCTCTCTCCCTTCTTCCCTTTCTATCCCCTCTCTTTTCCATCTGTCTCTCCTCTCTCTCCCCTCTGGCCCCCCCTCTATCTCCTCTCTCTGTGTTCTCTCCCCTCTGTCTCCCCTCTGTCTCCCCTCTGTCTCCCCTCTGCCCTCCCTCTCTCCCCTCTCCCCTCTGTCTGTTCACTCCTCTCTGGCCCGGCTCTGAGCCCCCTCTCTTCCCTCTCTTCCCTCTCTCCCCTCTGTCTTCCCTCTGTCTCCCTTCTCTCTCACCTTCTCTCTCTCTTTTGTTGTTTTTGCTTCCTTCCCTTCAGGTGTCATCCCACTTTCTGTCCATATCACTCCATGTCTCGTTTGCCGATTGTTGCTCTTCTCTTCTTCTCTCATACGTGTGGCTACCCTTCATCCCTTCTCATCTTCTTACTTGTGGAGCACATGCATCGATTCTCTTAGAGCAAAAGGAGAGAGGATGAATAACAAGAGTGCTGTCCACTCAGAATCTCTTGTTTTTTCGGATTCCCCCCCCTCTCTTCTGTTCTCGTCAGCGTGCCCTGCAAAGGAAGGAAGCTTAGATAGAGTCAATGCCAATCCATGCACCCACAATCGACATGAGGAAGTTTGGTTACTTGCCCAGTGATAATCAAATTCTGATGATGACCGTTCCAATCTACGCAATGTACATCTGAACGATGTGCGTCCTGCACCTGTTCGCATACGAGATTCATAAAAAAAGAAACACAGCACCAAAAATAATCATTGGCAATGCCGGGGGTCAACAATTGCTGACTGAAAACTATGGTCTTCTATACCGAATAGAATGCCCTGTCATTATTGCTGTATTTGTGAAATTGTGACAACTTTCAGTCTAGAATCTAGACACAGCTATATGACCATACCGCGTTCTATTTGGCTGAAGACGTTAGCAGGGAAAAGACGAAACTCGCTTGGCTCTCAATGCTCACTGGCAGAGCAGACTGCTACCGTCGTCACCTGAAACTCACCTGGTTTTCACTGAATACGCACTGAATGCTCACGGAATGCTCACTAAATGCTCTCACTGAATGCTCACTGAATGCTCACTGAATGCTCACTGTATGCTCGCTGAGTGCTCACTGGCAGAGTAGACTGCTACGATCTTCCCCGCTACTAAACCAAAGTCGCGGTGTGCATGCTGCCGCAACTCTCGGGAAATACTGAGGAGGTGTTTGGCTGTACGTCCATCGAGGCGAAACGGGCATCTAATGCGAAGCCCCTTTTGCCTGGATGGAAGTGGCGCAAAACCACGCCCCAGTACTTCCCGGAGAGTCGCGGCAGCATGCATGCCGTGGCTTTGATTTTGTAGCTGGGAAACATACTGGTGGTTTACGCATACGATATACGCGACTTCGTTTTTTTTTAACTGGTAATTGATTGTCAAAAAAAATGAAAAAATGGGATATGTTGCTACACACTTACAAAGAAATTGTCTGAAATACATGCCATTCACAAAAGAGAAATGCATGCATTGTGTCCTTCGAAACATCCGTTAAAATTGGAACGAGACAGAGAAGATTAGCATGGCCCCTGCGCAAGGATGACACACATAAATTGTGCAAGGAACCTGACTGTTCACAGCTTGCTGGAGTGTTACACATCGCATGCTTAGGTGTCATCATACAGATAAAGAAGCTTCACACAAAGCCAAGTCGAAATGAGATAAGAACCAGACAGCGCAGCTCATATTATCAAAATATAAAGAGTATCTTGAGTTCAAGAGTTCAGCGCCAACAGATCACAAGTCTCCTTCAATCAAATCGCCAACATAGGGCCTGGCTCAGCCAGCGTATGCCCCAGATCACAGGTATGTCGCCAGCAGGTAAGTATCCACCATATACAACTTAGGAACCTGTCCCCTCTCTCTCTTCTCTCTCAAGATCTCTGTTCTGATTCTCTCGTCTCATCATGCATGCACACTCCCTACTTACGAGAATCTACTCTGAATGCTACTCACTGATATCCTACCACTACCCCTTCCACTACTAACAAAGCTGGCGCAGCTGTGGCTTCCTCTGCTAGCCACCGCCCAGCACTTCTCCTTCCTGGCGCAGCTTTCAAGCCTGCGCTTCTTCCCTGCACTCTAACGCACAAGTTCCAGAGCACTTCCTCGCATCAATGCCAATGGGAATCTGTCCTGTAGGGAGGCTAGCTCGATCTCTTATAGTGCTGGCCTCCCTTCGTGAGGTCTGAATCATTCTTCCTTGGATCTTTTCCCAGTCCCAGACCACTGCAGAATGTATCCCAGTACCTTTCCCTCAGGGTCTGCTGCTGCTGCGGCCTTTAGACCTGAATTTCGGACTTCCAGACTGTGTCTAGACTCCCTCTTTGACTTGGATCTAGACTGGGACCCTATCTCTTTGACTTCTTTATGAACAGACACATATATTGCACGAACAGACACATTTACTGCCCGAACAGACACATTCACTGCACGAACAGACACGACTCGCACAGCCCCCTGGACGAACAGATGTGACTCTCACAATTGAATGCTGCAACTGTTCGTCCTGGGGCACGATTGTGACCTTTGACACAATTCCTCACTTAAGTTAGGATGTGACTTTTGACCCAGAGAACATGTCTTTTGATCTGCTTTTCACGAATTGAGTTCTGGCCGAGTGGGCCCCATTATGCTGCGTTCGTCATTCAGGGTCTGAACGGGGAAAGGCCCTTTTAATTGAGAAATGGTCGAAATGACAAAAAAGAAAAGAAATGCATGAATTGAAAGGGAAATATGCAGCTGAGGACGTATACAAAAAGAAGCCAAACAACAAAAAGAAAAACAATAAAGAGAGGGAGGAAGAAATGGAAGGGCATAAGAATTTTCGGCACAGGACGCCCTCCATGGACTTACACGATTGCTTATCACTTGTGTTAAGAGTGATATAGGAGAGGCATGGCGAGGGGGTGGAATGGGGAGGGAGTGGAGGGGTGGGTGGGKGGGGGGGGGGGGGGATGGATCAAGGACCAATCACCTGCATTACGGGTGCGTCAGAGACTCTAGCATCCCAGAGTAAGAGGGAGCAATCATCTCCCACACTGCAAAACTCATCCGCACTGCAATGCATAATTATGACAACAAAGGTGTGCCCAACACAGCAAACAGGACAAAACTGAAAGTTGATGAGCAGTCAAGAAGGGCAGAAATCAATGATGAGAAACTAACAGTGCACAACTGTGCAAGTGAGCTTAGCATCTTCGGAGATCCCAAAATAGTAAAATACACACCTTTACAATTCCAAGAATCCAAGATTCCAAGTTAGTTAGTTAGTTAGGCTTTTTTTTTTTTTTTTGGTTAATGATCCTTCCACAGCTACTTTGTCATCACTCACAATCGTTTCTTTTTTTGTTGCAGAACAACTGACTTAGATTCGCACCATTCCTACTTGCGACAAAGTCACGACTTTTAACTTTCAAGTTTCAACTTTCAAGTTTCAACTGAATCTGCGGACCCAATCCAAAAAAAAAAAAAAAAAAAAAAGGAAGACACTTCAAGACAGACAAGGCCAGGAGTTCAGGACCCAGTTCTTTATTTTAATTTTATTTATCATCATGTAGTCTCGCCGACTCTCGGTAATTTACTAATTTTCTGTACCTTCTGTTCTTTTTGGTGGCCTGGTTTGGGAGATGAGGAGTGGAAAGTGGCCGCGTGTATGAGTGGGCGTCCTCCTCAGGGGAATGTAGGTGCCTTGACCTCCACTCGTCTGCTGACCGTTAGCACTGCTACCCCTTCTTTTTCAGAATGGTGTACACTGTACACCACACTGGGCTGAGGTGAGGTGCTATACTCAAACTGTCTGTCTCCCCCCCGAGCAAAAGGGCGTCCATGGTGGTTGAAGAAGGCAAGCAAGCTGTTCGCCACGGCTCTGCCCGTAACAGAGAGAGTGAACTGCATCGCCATGGCTCGGCCTGTAGTAGAGAGAGTGGCCAGGCACAGGATCGCCATGTCCTGGTCCGTAGCAAGAGAGAGTAGCCAGGCACGGCATCGCCACGGCTCGGCCCATAGCAGAGAGAGTGGCCGGCACGGCATCCCCACGGCTCGGTCCATAGCAGAGAGAGTGGCCGGCACAACATCGCCATGGCTCGGGGTGCAGCAGAGAGAGTGGGCAGGCACGACTTCATCATGGCTCGGCCTGCAGCAGAGAGAGCGGCCAGGCATGGCAGCCAGTTGCAGAATCCCTGGGCAGGAGAGAATGGACTATACTGCTACGTAGGGCCCCCTGATATGTAGGACCTCCGTCTTCATCCAAATAGAATGCCTCATCATTATCACTGTAGCTAGATGTAAGTTGCCCCAAATAGAGCTACAGACACCGGGCATTCTGTTCGGATGAAGACGGTAGGCTGCTATGCAGAGGTATGTACTCGGTGCTGGTATGCTGCTATGAACTTAAGGCCACCATGCTGCTTTGTACTTGGGGCCGGGGCTTTGGTGCTCCTACGTCCCCAAGGCTGGGGCTGCAACGCTGCCATGAACGGGGAGGGTATGCTGCTGTGTACCTGGGCATTATAGCCACACTGCCGCCAGACTGCTTTGCTGCTCCGTACTTGGGGCTGGGTTTGTGACACTGCCATGTACTGGGAGGGTATGCAGCTGTACGCCTTGGCATTGCGGCCGCGGCTGTTTTGCTGCTATGTGCTTGAGGATGGAGCTGTGACGCTGCCACGTGCTGGGAGGGTATGCTGCTGTATACCTGGGCATTGTGGCCGGGGCGCGACACTGCTATGTACTTGGAGGCTGGGGCTGGGTCTGGGACACTGCCATGTACTTGGGGTGGTATGCTACTGCATACCTGGGTGTTGCACTCGAATACAGCTTAGGGGTAAAGAAACAGAAGGCTAGCAGCCTCCCGTACATACCTCTACATGGCAGCTTAGCTCTACAGATCGCACGCGGCTCTGAATATCGACCAAGCAAGTACATAGGAGCTTAGCCAGGATTTCGGCTTCTGTTCTTTCATGAATAGACATGGCACCGATCAAGGCACTGTGCTGAGGGGAAACTGGACCCAGATCAAAAACCGTGTGTGAGATCCGGACATTTACTACTTTTAACTTTTAAGTTTTAAAGTTTTAACAAATTTTATTGAAAGGCAACCTACATGGAAAATAGAACTCTGACTCTCTGAGCTAAAAGTTTTTTGACTTTGTTTTGAGCCATAGCAGGTAATGCGCCTAAATTGTGATTTCAGAGTGCAAAAGAAAATAGAGATGTCAGCATTAGTAGCCAGTTGTTATGCCAGTGAAACAAGATGTGTGGCCTCGCCGCAGCTTTCACATCCGCTTTCCCCTCCTCTCCCTCAATGTGTGTTTCACCTGACCTCTCCATCGAATTTCCCCCTTCTCACCCTCAATGTGTGATCTTCCCCCCACTTCCCTATCCACTCCGTCCCGTCCCCCTCCCCTCGGTGTACAACCTCCCTCCAACCTTCCCATTCATGTTTCCCCCCCCTCCTATGAGCAATCGAACCTGCCCATTTGAATATGATGGTTGCGTTCCTATGCTTGGACCGCATCGCAGGCCCTCTCACCTGCTGCCGCGGCTGTCCCATGCCCTTTGGACATTTCCAGACTTGCCTGCAACTTGGCTGCTGGCCGTACGGACACTCTACTGGACCATACTCACCTACGAAATTCCCAACTACCTCTTCCAGACCTGTATCTAAATTCAGGACTTCTGTACGTGTACAGGGAGTCAGGGACTTACGGGTACTGGAACGTGCCATCACCAATAAATTTCGGAGAAATCATAAATGGTAAAATATGGGTGAGAGTTTTTTTTTTAACTTTTTTGAAGTTTTTTCAGATATTCCTATTAACCGGCAAACCTACAGAAGTAAGGATGGGAAAAGGCAAAGAAAAGTTAGAAAAGCCTACAGGTTGGCTGTGCGGGTTCTGACAGGTGTGAATCCTTTCACTTGATTAGGTAATCAATCGCCAACTATCTGACTCAGTGTGGTTACTTGCAACAAGAGGACCACACAGTTCGTCGACAAAAGGCTGACTTGCATTAACCAGATCCATTCACCATTGCGAGGCCACTGCCTCTATGAGCCCCAATCGGCCCCTTTGGGAGCCTGTCGGCCGCCCTAAGTGAAGGCAGGCTCGGCGAGGCCCCTCAGGGCCTTATTTCGGCCTCTGCACAACTAAGGAAATTCAGGCAGTTGCGCAGCGCCAGTTGGTTGAGAAAACCCAGGCCCTGGGCCGCCTGTGTGAATGAATGGAAAGCAGGCCCTGGGCTGGATACGGGTACTGGGCCAAACACATGCCAAAGGCAGTTGGGTGCATGCAACCACCTCAGGCCCCAGGCCTGTTCTCGATCGTGCTGGGCCTCAGGCTACCGGGGCCTACTGGAAGCTTCCTGGGACTGGACGCAGGCAGGCCACTTCGATATAGCAAAGGGCCTGCCTCCTCATTCGGCATTCGGGTGCTGGCTGCATGCTGCGCAAGCACTGCTGTGCTATTTGCTGGCTGGCGCCTACGCGCTCACGGGCGAGCAGGGAAGGAGCAGGCAGCCATAGCCGAGCTGCGCTGCCGTAAGCTGGGTGTGGCGCAGGGTGGTCCTTGGGTGCTAGTGGCATCTGTGTGTTGGGGAACGAGGTTGTGAGTGAGGCGAGAGACATACCTGGTGCTGGAAGCGTGCGACATTGGTCGCTGTATGCTCGTACTTCGGGAAAGATGTTGACGTCATCATTCGGCATTGTAGTCTAGGCTAGATAGGATCTGCCATCTGTAGTCCGGGCGCCGAGTGCCAGATAGGATATCAACATTGGTTCTTCATTGATGATGATGATGAGACTTTACCAGCATTGTCAATTTTGAGCTCTTGGTGTCTTCTTATTTGGTGAAACTCGTGATTCAATTCTGCTGTTGGTTCGAGGTCACGACTATCTGATCTTGTGTATATGATGCTGTTTGATTGCTGAAGTTCGCTATTGCTCATCTTCCTTGCACCATTAAGAAAGAAAAAAAAAAAAAAAAAAAAAAAAAAAAGGCCATTCACCATGGTTGAGGAGGAGTTCTTCCTGGACATGATGGATGCCATCTGCAACGGCCACTCCTCCAAAAACTACACAAGAGAGAAACGGAGAGGAATGCAAGGGTGGATGCGCAGTGTCAATCTTTAGACCTGGCACAACAATCCACAACTTGGAGTTTGACCCAGCTGAATGGGCATGGATGCCAGACAAGACTAAGAACATCAAATCCAAAATCCCAATTCATGAGTAAACAGTTAAACTAGGATACAGACTGTCACTGAAAACCAAAGACCCAGACCCTATCATTAAAAAAAGATGGTACGATCTACTGGGCCAAGAGGCAGACAAGCTCACGCAGATCCAGTGGAAGAAGTTCAAGCTTATCAGGCCAATTAAAATCAGAAGTTTACAATGGCTAATCGTCTACGCAGCATTACCAGTGAAGTTGAGTGAACCAATGGCTACACACGAGGCGTAAGAGTTCAGATCCCAACAGCTCGGATTTGTGCATGGTCTTTAATGAAGGGACGGTAGAAGATATAGTTCACTGCCTAATACACTGTAGGGAGGCGACAGACTACTGGGCAAGAGCCTCGGCACTCTGGGACTCCCTATTCTGTAATGAAGGGACGGTAGAAGACATAGTTCACTGCCTAATACATTGTAGGGAGGCAACAGACCACTGGGCAAGAGCCTCGGCACTCTGGGACTCCCTATTCCCAACCCCCTTCCCCGAACGTCCCATCCAACTTCTCCTCTTGACTAACATCCCTCAACAGCTCCAGAAAGCAGAAAAGATCTGGTTTGGACTCATCAGAAAGGTAACATTATGGGTCATATGGAAGGAAAGATGCAGCAGAACGATTGAAGGACTCTCCAACCCACGCGAGAAAGTTTGGGTGGAGACGAAAATGATTATACAAGCCGAAGTCCTCTGCAGATGGAGGAAGACCAAGCAGTCATGGACGGAGGACGAGGAACAACGAAAGAAGGAGAGATGGACCTTCAGCAAGAACTGGTTGATAAACGGCAAGCTTACGGAGTTACGAGAAGACCGTATTTGCTGGAAAGAGTGGCGTAACTCAACCCCAGGAAGGACTCACCAGCAACAGACAACTGCGGGTGGACAAGACATTCCATGATCAGACATCCACGAGGGGTGGATAAGACGGAAGTAAGGGTGTCATAGAACAGGATAGTAGTCGAGGGTTTAGGGATTAAGGGTTTAAAGGAGCAGGGGACAGGGTGGCTCTCGGGTAAGGATGGGTAAAAGGAAGTACAAGGGACAGACAAGACAACCGGGCAAACTCTTTCTAGGAATATAGAACTATCTGACAGACCTAGCCACCAGGTCTGAGAGGAGAGAGGGTGTCATGGCAAGCTGACAGTCAATCCTCCGTCAAGACGGAGTAATCAATGCTGCTCAGGGGTCCTTCGGCCAGACGAAAGGAAGCGTGAGTGTGTCTTAATTGTTGTGTATAATTCCGACTTGCCGGTGGAATAGGAACCGGACTGACGCTCCCCAGAATAGGAGCCAGGACCATGATTTAAAAAAAAAAAAAAAAAAAAAAAAAAAGGAAGTGGGAGCGCACAGGAGTATGGTGCAGGTCAACGGGTGGTCTGCAAGGAAGGGCACACCACACATCACTGTGATGCTCTCTTCTGGCAAGAAGGACATACCACACATCACTGCGATGCTCTCTTCTGTCAGCAAGGACACACCACACATCACTGTGATGCTTTGTTTCCCTGCTCGCACGGTTTTCTGCAGTTTTCCCTGTGCATGCAAGGGAAGGACAAGACCACCGGGCTTACTTCATTGTCTTGGATATTGCAGTCCAGGTGGACATTGCAAGGGTCTATGTTAAGGCAAGAAAGATGGTGGAGAAGAAGTACCCATGGATATTCCGCGTCAGCTGCATGATGCATATCCTCGACCTCGCCCTACAGCACAAGGGCAAGCACATTCCATGGTTCACAGAGACTGTGAAGAGGGGTAACCTGTCTCTTATACACATCTAGATGTGTATAAGAGACAGACTGTAGCCCGATGACCTCTGAAGCGCGCACGAGGATAGACTCTTGAGGGTGCGCCAAGATTCGGCTGCGCTGCCGACGACACATGGCACCTTGCTTGGTTCAGGCTTGTAACATGGTCAATGATGGACCATAGCACAACTTCAGTATCCTTCCCTGCAAAGCATGCACATAAATCAGCAAACCACCATCCCCCCCCCCCCCCCCCCCAGTCAACCCTACCCCACCCCAACAATCCGTCCGACCCCACGCCACCCCCAACAACCCTCAACCGCACCCCATCCCAACAATCCCACCCCACCACATCCCCGACCAGAAAAGGACAAAGATGAGAAGCATGACAATCTGCAGTGAAAAATGACTTAGGGCATACACACATATCTATAGCTATTATCTACAGATACAGACACAAACACATGTACACACACACTTCCGCACACACGCACACACGCACACACGCACACACGCACACATCAGGCATATCAGGTCTTCTCTCAAGGGTCTCACATCATCATCTCCCCACCAAGCCCCCACAGCCCATTCAGATATACATAGCTTACTAAGCTAACTCCCTCCACACTCTCTCCTCACCATATCCCAGTGCGCCCAAAGTTAAAACATTTTGACGACATCGAGTGCTCCTGGCTAGTGACCAGAAATTGTCAAAACTAAGAAAACTTTGACCACATGCGTTGCTACCAGCTACCGTCCCCCCCCCCCGACCACAACGTGCCCTGATAACGAATTAATTCAAATGATCTCTCCGGCCCGGTACAGTCAAAATGAGGGTGTGCGGGAGGACGGTAGTAGTGAGGAATTCTACCTCCGCTGAGCAGATAGGGGGCCACACGACATGCTGCGAGTGCAAATTCTGCATTTTCCTTATGGCCATCAAGCACCTGCAGGATGCAAGATCGACATATCATACAAAGAAGTCAGTCATCGTTATCCGCATCTCTAATTAATTGTAAGAAAGGAACTCATTCCATCAGATCCTAATCTCCAATCGCAAGGAAGGAATTCTCCTCCGAGCCTGGTTTTTGCCGACCCTGATTTTCACTGCGCACCAAGTAAGGCCGAGCCTGGGGTCCCTTGTGTTTCTTTTCTGGTACTCTTCTGAAAAAGCAAAAAGAAAAAAAGCATGGCCAGACTTTCAAAAAACGACGTCCTGAAGACCACAAAAAGTTGTTGTGTGAGTATGCCCTCAGTGAGGGCGTTACGGCAGAGGGGTGTCAGGTCCATGGAAAAGAGGAGAGAGGGAAAAAAATAAATTGAAACTGAACTTCTTGTGAGTATTGGTGTGAACACAACTTCATGTATGGCCTTCCCGGACTTGGTCTTTTGTTTTTCTTTTCGTTTTTCGAACAGCGGGCCCACAAGGCCCAACTGCCGAGCCTCCGCAGACCCCCGAAAAGTCAGGAAGAAGTGGGGAAAACAGCCAGTTGGCCCAGTTTTGAATTTTCCCATTTTTCCCAAGAGCGACAGAGGTAGTGGTGGTTTAAACAAAAAGGTAAGGACGAGGCCACAAACACCTCCCAACATGACTACTTGAGTAAGGGGCCAATGGCGGGACTCTCTTTACCCTGGAAGCTTACCCTTGGAGACCAATGGGATAGGAAGCATCATGACCGAACATCACACTTGGTGATCTCATCTGCTGCAGACATAAAGACCAGCAAAAAAGGGTTGCTTGATAAAAGAGGGGTTATTCGACCGCTTACAACTCCTTCGAGAAAACAGAATGACGGTGACTCAGGCGTGGTTAAGTTCCCTTTTTCACACGTTATAGATCAATCTGCTCGAAAGTGGCAATGCTATTTATAATGACAACTCCAGAAGGAGGCGGATGACGCAGCAGCAGCTGAGCAAGAGGCTGGCAATGCTAACCAAGGACAAAGAGGGGAAGAGGAGGAGGAGGGGAAGGGGTCAGAGGAGGAGGAGGAGGAGGAGGAGGAGGAGGAGGAGGAGGA